TTACAACTGTTAGATGCTTTTCTAGTTAAAATACCTTGGTAGTTTCAAGTAGCATAATTTTACCTTCAGAGTGGTAAGCCTCACAAGTAGCATATACTTTAACCCTCTCACCACAGACATCCTTTACTACGCATGTCACAAGGTTTTTAGTGAGTTACATTCACAATTGAATTAAACCACTTTTGTTTATGTTATGCTTATTAGTATAGAATAAAATTGTTGCTAATAATCCATATTTTAATAGTATATAAATTTTAAGTTCTTAATTTTACAAGGCAATATTGAAAAATATTCTGAATTTTCTCTAGGCATCCCCTCTTCTCTAATTTATACACCACCCTTCCAATAAGTACAAAATTTAACATACATTACTCACTATAATATCATCATCGCTCAGACAAAGCATAATTTTCATAGACTTCAATCTTGTTTGATAAGCCATCAAAGAGAAAATCAGACCCCTCTTGCCTCACTCACCTGTCACATCCTCTCTTTCAGGATCTAACATACCTTGATTTTTCTTAATTTCTCGAAATAGGAGGAGTCATAAAAGCCAAAATGCATTTATCCAAATAGAATAGTTCAATTACTGTCTGTCTATTATGATTCTAATGACATGGGTGCAAAAGTGCCATGAAACTTTACAAGTGTAGTGAGTGCTGGTATAACAATCCTGAAGTAAAGACTTCTAATATATAGAAAAGTTAGTGCATTTTGGTAACAATATGTTCCAACAATGGCTTTTATGTTATGTTACTTAACAACAAAAGTAATATATTTTAATATATTTCTTAGTCTATGTACTGAAAGTATAAATTAAAATGTGCAGACAACAAAACTGGAATAATATTTGTTGGTTTCTTAAATTAGAGTCTCCGTTGATTAAAGAGGTTTGTTTTTTTTATTAAAAATGTTGGTGATATAACAAAAAATAGCTTAATTCAGAGATGAATTTAAAATTGAATTGATGTTTTTACTTTCATGATAAATTTTATGCACTTAGGTCTAGGCTAAGTTATCTCACACTATGTCTTCACTTTAGGCTTATTTATTAATTTCTTTAAATCATACCAACATTCACTACACTTACCAGGTTTCACAGCCCAACTGCACACCCATCACTGTAAATAACTTAGTCATTTCACAGTTATTATTGCTTTAACCCTATTACCCCAGGTACCCTTTACTGGGCATGACACAAGATTTTAGTGTCTTACATTCAAAATTTTATTAAAGTACTTTTCATTTATGTTATACCAATTAGAATATCAATATTAAAAAAGATCCTGAATTTCCACTAATGCGACCCATGTGAAACATTTTCTCTTAGCATGTCATCAACTCTATTTTATCCACCACCCCTCGAAAAAGTATGAAATTAAAAGTAAAATACTCTATAAGATCGTTATTGCTCAGACAAACCATAATTTTTACAGTCTTCAATTTTGTTTGGTTACAGAGCTATCAAATAGAAAATCAGACCCCTCCTGTCACATCCTCTCTTTCACAATTCGTTAATAGTTCTCTCTGTACATTTCATTATATATTACCTATAACCAATAGAAAGTCAAGGTTTTCATCTATCAAATGACGTATTGTATAACCATTGTATAACGTTGTATTCTGTCAATTTCACTCATAGTACAAGATTCATTCCCGTGGGAAAGTTAATGACTAGCTTGGATGAATTTGTAATGGTTCTTGTCGCATAGTTAGAGAGCCAGGAAAATTTTGAGAGGTAAGTGAATTTGTCTACTTTTTGCATGTTATTAGTCTATATTCTTTGTTGCATTGTTTAATTAAATAAAATTTGTTATGTGCTTTACTATAATTGCTATAAAAAATCAGGCTTAACAGTCCTGGACAATCGAGGGCAAGAAAAAAGAAGATTGGGTAAGAACCTTATTTCTTGTTTTCCATATTTATTCTTTATCTATTATTATAAAAGTAACTAAAATTAAAAATATGAATGCGTTTAAGTTATTTAACACTATACTAGGTAAATAAGCAATAATAATAATATAATTAAAATGGTTCCCAAGGCACACATGCGAGCAGCTTGTGGGTAATGTAATTCGATATCATAACGTGAGCTGCACGTTTCCCAAGTGATTTACAACTTATAATGGCACGGATAGTAGTTAGACACTGTTCAAAGGGCAGTAAAACAACAAAACGTAATTACAAATAGATGTATAATGTTACGAACTTAGAGCTACTTTTAGAAAGAAAAAAAAAGGTTAATTTAGGTTTATTTCAATTTTTTGTGTGGCGGTTACGAGGTCTGTCGAATTGACCGATCCCACTTTGAGATAGGGTACAGAAAATATCAGATTAATGATAAAGTTTTACTGAAAAAACTTTTGAAATGCATTTAGGAGATTTTAGGGATTACACAAAGGAAATTTGAGATTTTTGAGATGATGAAAAGTATTTTTAATTTTAACATGAAAATTACTTTGCACGTGGACTATTCAAAACAAATACTCAATGTATTCAAGGACAAATCTTTATTTTATTTTATTAAAAATACCTTAACAAAAAAACATTATTATTTCTATGTGAAAGACTTGTAATGTTAACTGAAAGACTGCCAAATTTTGTGAAGATATATACAATATATTGAGAGTTATAAGTATTAAATTTAGAAAGACTTTGAAAAGAGTACAAAAACATCACACACTCAGTCAAATTGACTGACCCCATGTTGAGAGAGTTAAAGTAATAGAAGTGGCACATGGGTGTTTCATCTAAGCACTCAACACTACAAGAATGTTGACAATTAGTCCTAACACATAGACAATAGAAGACATTTATCTAGAAATCATATAATAATTCTCAGAATGAAATTTATGTGATAATGAGGTTGCACCAATAACCTTTAATTCAGATAATGCAATTAATACATGTACAATGAAATTAGAATAACTCACCTCTAGTTGCATAGTCTAGATCTACATTCACAGCTTTAACCATTACAACATCCTCGAGACTGAAGATAAGTTTCTCTGTAGTAGAATCTTGAGCACTATAATTGGTTATAAAGCTATTAAGATTTTCACCTAAACCTTGAAGTGGTGCAATGCTAGTAGAATTTTTGTGTACTCTATGTGGCATTTCTAACACCAACTCCATCTGTGGATAAACATCACAAATTAACGTATGTATTTTAAAGCAGTTATTTATATATTGCAAAGTATAACAAGATATAACCATACTGCTATGCATTAGCTATGTTTTACAAGATACATTAGACTAGCAACTGATCTACCATATTTTTGGTGTATAAGATGCACTTTTTTCATCCCAAAATTTGATGTCAAAATCTGCATGCATCCTATACAACGAAGGTATGAATAATATATATGTATATATACGATATAAACAAGCCATGTGT